AAGCCTTCCTCAAGCCTTTGGGAGGCCAAAAAAGGTCTCAAACCGGCTGAAAATCAGCTGTGAGGTGCAGTGCAGGTAAGGGGCCGGCGGGGTGTGTGTGGGGATTGCATGCGCATGCATAGGGGGTGTGTGGGGGCATGCATTGCCTTCTGGGTGCTGGCACGCGAACGCGAGAGTGCCAGCGCGTGCACAATTTTTGGCACAGGAGCCCAAAAAGGTTAGCCACCACTGAACTATAGTATGTAGATGCAGATAATAAAATCAAAAAAAGGTGAACGAGGTTTTTACAGCACTATAGATATGTTGAGTCTTTTGAGGTGAGTGGCCAGGAGGCTAGGCGAGGCTGGGCATGTCAAGGAGTGGCTGGGAGGGGAGTGGCGTGGCGAGGAGACGCCGGGCAAGGTGCCCCTCGATGTGCCGTAGAGTTGGCCACACCCACCCAGCCACGCCTACCTAGCAGGTCATTAGGGCAGAGAATAGGTTGTTAAATTATTTGAATCCCACCACTGAACTATTCCTATTGTTATTGTGATGGAGTCAAAGACCAGTCATTTGCAGGGTGCCAAGATGTCCGACTGCCTGAGCAGCATTTATTGCTTTTTATAGTTTTTACAAGGAGAAAAAGGTAAAGCAGCAACAGCATTTTTATTGGTGAATTCTGACTGCCAATCCTTAAGAATATACAAGGAAGTGGTGATGTTAGCCAGGTGAGATCATGTACTAGCCAGGGACAGTTCTGCTGAGTGAGATCATGTACGTATTTGAGGCCATGTAGGCTTTGAGGTACGTCAGTGTGCTGCTTGTGCCCCCTACAGGCCTCTATTTCTACTACATCTCACTGTTTTGTTCTGTTAGACAAGGCATCGTTGTAAGAGGGATTCATAAAAGGATCATAATCAGGAGAGGAGCATCCTTGCAATTGTTTATACAGGGCATATACCTGACCCTGAGGCAGTGTGGGAGGGGGTTTGGGGCAAAAAGCTGTGATACATATGTTGCAAACGGAAGTAAGACATTGAACAAAGCAGCACCCACCAATCAAAATAGCACAAATAATGACTAAATAGCGTAGAATATTTCCCATTAAGCCTGTGGGCAACCAAGCCCAAAAGCTTTCCCACCAAGATCCTAAATTATCAATTTTCAAATCCGAGGCCAAATTGTATAAAACATTAAGCTGGTGCTGTATGGTTCGTGACTCATCAGACAAATTAAAACAACATAGCCCATCCAAAGCTTCACAACCCAAATGCTGGCGCAGAAGCAAAGAAGCAAATAATCAATCGCAGCGCGATTTTGTAAAATAGCCTTTCTCAAAGCTTGCATCTCATGGTTGATTGCTGAGATAGCTGAAGAAGTAGCATTGTTTTTGCTAAATTACATGCAACAGAGTTAATGTTAAGGTGAGCGCGAGCAGCAAGTGCTGGCACGCCCACTATAGACACAGCCAACGCTATGTATTCCGCTTTATTAAGTAAGGCTGTTTCAGAGTCAGGTGCTATCTAGCATGACCCCACGTCGAGAACGATTTGAGTGAATTTGTTGTTTGGAAAGCAAAACAGGAATCAGCCGGCTGAGACAGCACTGCGCTTCACTAATATTAGAAGGAATATAATTAAAAGTTTCTTGACCACATGTAAAAAACCATCCTTGCAGTAGCCAAACATGGTCAAAATTAATGTCACTGGACAACTGGCACAACGGGACCGGATTGGACGCTGTGCTGTCTGTAGAGTCACCCTTGCCATTTCTGGGACCGGATCTGGGGACTGGTGCCATGACATCCTTGGCTGGGTGGACACAATGTGCTGGAATCCACAAAGGTCCTGTAGGAGCAAGCACAGCAGCATAGCCTCACCCCCAAGTAATCAGAGGAACCGGCCCCAACCATGTTTTGTCTGGTAATGCCTGATAATATACTAGAAGAGGCAAGCTTGTTTTCTGTTGAAAGTGTCTCTGATAAGTGGTCCAATTTTGAATAGAAACATTCAATTGATTTAAGGTAAATAATGCTTTTTTGATCTGTTGTGTTACCCACGACAAATTGGGGACCTGAGGTCCCTCCTTTTTTGTTTGTGGAGGCAGTCCTTAAAGGACCAGTGAACACATTCCACGATGGCTTGACCTGTGGAATTATAGGGAAGACCATGAGTAAGAACAATATTCCAGGTTGTACAAAATTGCAGAAAAGCCAATGAAGAATAGGCTGGCCCATTATCAGTTTTTAAAGAAGAGGGCTTGCCCAAGTCTGTAATAGCCCAAAAAAGATGAGAAATAACATGATTAGCAGTTTCCCCTCGTTGAGGCGTGGCCCAAATCGCTCCTGAATAGGTATCAATAGATAAATGAATATATTTCCAGGGAGCCAAAGAGGGAACATGGGTAACATCCATTTGCCAAAGTTGATTAGAGGTGAAACCACAGGGATTAACTCCCGTGTCCCCTGAGGGGGGTGTCCCAGAACATTGGGGACAGGATAAAACAATCTGCTTGGCTTGGTCGAGTGGAATATGACAAGCTTGTGCCAGCCCCCTAGCGTTTTGATGGAAAAAAGAGTGACTGAAAAAAGGATCTGAAAACAAAGTAGGTAAAACATGAACAGCAGCGTCAGCATGATTATTGTCTTCAGAAAGAGGCCCAGGAAGGGGGGAGTGACTGCGTATATGAGAAACATAGTACAAATGCCTTCGGTCTTGTAGCAGCCGCTGCAAAGTTAAAAACAAGGCCATGAGATTAGGGTCAATCCTGGGCGTGATATAAACACCTGGAAGATTAAAAACAAGTTGACACACATAATGAGAGTCAGAGATTAAATTGAAAGGCTGTTGAGAAAAGGTTCGGAAAGCTAAAATTGCAGCAGATAATTCTGAACATTGCGGAGAGGATTGTACTGCAGTGTAGGACACTTTTCAGGTATCATCATGAGGATCCTTGTAAGCAATTGCTCCTCTTGTTCGCCCACCATCTGAAAAAACAGTAGGAGCAATGGAGAAGGAGAAAGCAGTGGGTGGACAGGAAAGGAAGAAGTCATTAAGCAAGCAAGCCGAGGATCTTTAGGCAAATGATATGCAATACAGCCTACATAGTCAGTTAAAGCACATTGACGAGATAAGTTACTCTGAAAATAAAATTGAAAATCAGATTTCTGGATAGGAAGAACAATATTCATTAAATCAGTCCCATTTCTACGGAAAGCTCGAGTGCGTCCTAAAATTATTATTTCAGCAACAGCTTGGATAAATGGTAAGACATTTTGGGATGGGGTTACAGATCTGTGTCTCGTTCCATGCTCCTGGACAGCAGAGTTGACTGGACCATTGAAATCAACGGGGCATACCTTCCTCACTGACTCTGCCATCCAGGGCATCAGAAGAGAACAGTTCCCCAGTATCTCCACCATTTCCACCTTACTGTATTTATCAAAATTTACAAAGAAAGAGGATCCCAAATCATGTTTCTGCCCTAACCATTTTTGATTTCTTCTTCCCCCACTTCTTATTTGCAAAGCCCATTGTTAAGCCTGGATTCCCCAACGGGTGTTAAGGAAACTAAACAGAACGTGCAGCGAAGTCAGATAGGAAGACAGGTAAATGTGTGAGATAAGGTTTGTAGTTAACACGCAGTAAAAATACAGATACGCTTGTGCTATCAAAAATATAGTTTATTCCATTTAAGAATTATAGCATAGTCAAATAAACGGTCCATTAGTCATATATCAATTTCAGTCAAATCTTGTCGGGGATACTCTATTTGCAAAGTCTGTGTTGAATAGCCAATGTCAGTTCACTTACAATAAATCAGTCCAATCTTTATTTTTTCTCCGTTGAGAAAAATCAACACTCCTTCTTCTCTCCCCTTTCCAGCAAGAACGCAGTCATCAATCCATCAAGTAATTAGGGATCAGTAAGACAGAGAGAGAGAGCGAGCTGCAATTGCCTCGCTTCTAATATAGTGCTTTTACAACCACACCCTTAATTACATTTATTGCTGTTAAAGTTACACACACTTTAACTAACAAACCATGATACCATATTTATTATTTTTACCCAAAACAGTTAGGGTAAACAATGTTATCCCTAACACCCATTGTATACCTTTTGTGATTTTACCTGTTGTGCTGGTAATAGTTATGCATTCTTCACATTCTTGTTGTAAACCCTCCAAAATTCCAATAGTTCTCCTGGAACTTTAAAATCTAAGTCATTTTACGATGCACACTCACACTGACATATGCAATCACAGAACCAACACATCAGGGAGGGGTATTTTGAGTCAAACTTTAGTGTAAATTCTCTGCTTTGATCAAAATATGGATTAAGAGCATGTACAGAGTGTGGCTGGTTTGAATTTTGATTCCCTTGCTGAGCTGAGCTCCATTGTAAACTGGGAACTGAGCCACCGTCAAAGATAACATTCTAGGCAAAGTGCCCACCTCAGCCTAGCCATCTAAGGTTTCTTTGTTTGCAGTAAGCTCAAAGCAGAGAAAAAAAATGTTAAAGTGAGCAAAAAGCCTCACTCCCCCCCTTTTCCTGCTTCTTTTGCTTTTTCAAGGCAAAAAGTCCTTGAGCAAGAGAAAGAAAAATTAACAACCAGCGAGGACAAGAAGGTGGGGGGAATGTTTAAAATACTACATAGAAATCTCACCCCTTTTCTCCACTCAACATCCTTTCAACAAAATAATTCTCTCTCTCCAGTAAATCACACACATTTCTCCATGGGACCTTTCTCATTTCCTTGCACACGCTATTTCTTACTCTCCTTTTAATCTGGGATGGGGGTCAACACAGACATTTACACCAACTTTTTACCATCAACATACTCACAAATCTGTACTGTAATCAGACTGCTTGCATACTTACAATTCTTTTTTGGGAGCCAATGAGCTCCATTGTCTAAATAATTTTGTGTACTGTTATTAGAGGGTCTCATCCTCCAGGTCTGGAAATGATTACACATAGACACATTCTCACACACAACATTTCCAGACCTGGGAAGGTTTTGTCCCTTTAAATCTCCATGTTTTTTTCATTTGGACAACCTGCAGTTTGTTCTCAGAGCAGTGGGAAAACTCAAGGAGCAGTTCCAATCACAAATGCAATTGTGGGCCCTAACCACTGCCTACCTGCTTCCCAAAGCTCTAAATCCAATCCAAAAAGCCAATTTAATTCTCTGGCTGGCCAAACATGTCACAATTATTTTATTTTGAACTGCAGCAGCCCCAATTGGGGCTAGACACAGGTAAAATATTTTTTTTTCAATTCAATCCTATTCAATTCTGCATGCAATTATTATACATGCACATCTAAGAATTTTTAATAGAAATCACATCATGGAAAGAATAAATATTTTCTTCTTCTCTTAGTTCTTTCTACCACACATAACAGCATAAATTAACCATATCTTCTTTGATCAGCCCCAATGTACTGTATGGAGGGGCTTTCCAACCTCTAAGTATTTTTCTCTAAAGGACTACTCAGGTCTATTTACAATTTGGGATTCTTCCTAATTGTTTTAGTGAACTTCTCACTTTTACTCAAAGTTACACCCATTGTTCTATCTCAAGTACTAAATAATTAAAAAGGATTAAAAATAAAAATTTTAAATAAATAAATTGTTACTATGTCTCTCTGCCCTGGGCATGTTCCCTTTCTAGCTTGAATCTCCCTGCTTTACTAATTGTTCCTCTAATACTTGCCTTATGGGGGTGTACAATGGCCGTGGAGAAGCAAAAGATTTAGCCTCCTCAGAAGGAGTTGAAGGTCCAATTGGAGAAGATTTTGGGGTGACAATTTTTACCTGAATATAATCAGGCAGGGGGCTTGTAGTCAATTGTTGGCCTGCTGAAACATCAGAGCCAAATTTTTCCACTGCTTGACGGCATTGATACCATCGATGTAATATTTGGACTGGAGCCCTGGGTTCAAAATCTAAACGTATGCCCTATCTTTATCCAATCCCTTAAACTGAGCGTCCCGCGCTCAGGATACCAGGGACAATGTTTCCCTACCTCCTCAACCAGCTTATGTCTGCCCCAGGCACTGTAACGCCTGACTTGTGTAACAGGAATCTGAGTTCCTGTACATATTTATGCTGGTTTTGAGATAGATTGCAACCCATACTTACCACTGAGGGGTCCTGGAGGACGGAGGTGCACCTAGGGGTCTGTTCCAGACAATGGTATGTTGGCTGTTGCTACCCATGGGGCGGGGTTGTAGTCCCTGGTTGGGCGCCAGCTGATGGAGTCAAAGACCAGTCATTTGCAGGGTGCCAAGATGTCCGACTGCCTGAGCAGTGTTTATTGCTTTTTATACAGTTTTTACAAGCAGAAAAAGGTAAAGCAGCAACAGCATTTTTATTGGTGAATTCTGACTGCCAATCCTTAAGAATATACAAGTAAGGAAGTGGTGATGTTAGCCAGGTGAGATCATGTACCAGCCAGGGACAGTTCTGCTGAGTGAGATCATGTAGGTATTTGAGGCCATGTAGGCTTTGAGGTACCGCACTGTGCTCCTCACGCCACTCCACAGGCCTCTATTTCTACTACACTATTGAGGATGTCCAGGAAAGGTAGTGAGTTTTCTTTTTCCCTTGTGAATTTTGTATCTTTGAAGATGTTGATGGTGTCATGTGTGTTCTCTAGTTGGTCCTTTATTTTGGTGAAGGTGTCATCTACCATACCTGATCCATATTTTGGTTTACCTCATTTGGGTGATGAAACATCTGCAAGAAAACAACTCAACTCAGAGAGCACCAAAGACCCCTCATTTCAATCCTGAGCTAAAAACATTTTCCTCTATCGGTAATCTTTTTGTCCTGAGAACTGTTAACTTTAGAATATCCAATCTGTGGTTTTAAATATCTGTATGTATAAATAGATTTGCACCCTCTTGAAGGATCAGATGATGGGATGTATGTACAGAGGAGGCCCTAGGGATCAGAGGAAGGGTCATATGGACCCAGGTATGGATGGAATGGACATGAGAGTGAGGAATATTAATTCTGATAAAACATTTTCTCGTCTTCATTTCTGTGCCTTAAGCAGCCTTGCTCCTTCCTGTCTTCTCTCTCTCTACAGAAGGAGGGGGGTCTCGGGGGAGTGGGGGTGCTGCCTCAGACAAAGTTACAACTTTTACTTTTCTCTGTGGAAGGAGGGGGGTCACGGGGAGTGGGGTTGCTGCTTTGAGCTGCTCTGCAACAGGAAAGGGATTGGGAACTGCACATTCTTAGCGAGGCAGAAGTTAGCACCTTAAACCACAAGCCAGGATGTTAGGAACAAGAATAGCTTGCTTATAAGAAAACCCCCCAAAACCACATAGCTGGCACATGAAACTAGGACCCTTTGCAAATTACCCATGACCTGGGGTGAAACACAGGTGACATTTAGCTATGTAGGTGGCTGAGATCCAAATAACCAATCAATATTATCTGTTATGCATGCATTATGAGGGGAAGGGCAAAGGGCTGAATGTGACCACCCTTTGACTATAAAAATTGCTGTAAGATTCTCATCGAGGCCCTTGGTTAGCTTTTGAGTTAGGCTCCTTATATCTTGCTACCAAAATAAAAGTGTATTGTATCACACCTTGTGTCTGGTGACTTATCGGCTTCAACTCCAAGCAAGAGCCCAGTTTGGGGACAACACTCTCAGCTACAGGACTTTTGATGTCGTAGAGGCCTGTCTTATAGAGGAGACAACAACGTGGCCCGGAGAGAAATGAAAACAGGATTTAAAGAAAATATGAAGCGGCTGCCCTTTAACGCAGTATGTTTATACGCTTTCTCCCATGGGGTACAGGCCGGAGATGCTCTCGATTTTCCGAGAGCCGAGGCGTGGATTTTCTCCTGTACCTTCCTCCAGGCGGTAGTGATGGATCCGTCCCTCTTTCACTCGAGAGCGGGGGTAACATGAACGATGCTGCCTCGTGAGAGAGACTGGACCGTCTCCGCCCAGGCGAAAGTCAAAATAGCCGCTCTTGCGTGCCCGTACCTAGCCGTGCTCGCGTCGTGCGCTCGTTTCAGCAGCACCGTGCCCGCGCTTTTGCGCGATGCAGTGTGGGAATGGCTGTAGCGCTGGGGTTGGCTGAACGAGGTGGCCAGTCGAGGTTTAATGTCCGCCATGTTGGCCGTGGCGTATTGAGCAGACCCAGAGCGGCGGCGTTGAAAAAACGGCGCTCTGGCCTAGCCGCACTAGTCGCCGTCGCTGGGACCCGCCTCAGAGCGAGTCCCGCCCCGTCGCGGGAGTCCCGGTCCCTCCATGACAACTCTCGGCGAGGTCCGGCTCTCACCTCGGAGCGCTCTCGCTGCCTCCGTGCGCTGTGCTGGAGCAGCAGCAGCCACCATAGCAGTTGTAGCCGACGACTAATATGAGCAAACTGTCGTTCCGGGCCCGGGCGCTGGACGCGTCTAAGCCGCTTCCCGTCTTCCGCTGTGAGGACTTGCCCGACCTGGCCGAGTATGCCTCGATCAACCGTGCCGTGCCGCAGATGCCCACGGGCATGGAGAAGGAAGAGGAGTCGGTACGTGAGAGAACCCCCCCCCCCCGGCCGATCTGGGGCCCGCCATCGTCCGGTAACCAGGCCCCCACCATCAACTCTGCGCAAGCACAAAATGGCCACCATTTTCTACCCGCTTCCTCCCCCTATCTTCCCCTCTCCCCATGGGAAGACGGCGATCCCTAAAAGCCCCCCCCCCCCGCCCCATCTGTCTTTCTCTGCTCGGGTGCCAAGGCCGCCTGCTGGCCTCCACTTAGCGTCCCGAAAGGCACAAAGTATCGCGGCGTGTAGTCGCCATCATGTTATGCCTATATGGTTGGGCTGGGCCTTAATAGCGCAGCAGCTGCCAAAATGCGAGCTCTAACGGCGCGGAAGGGTAAAAGTTCCGCTCGTTTTGGATACTAGGTGACGTCTTTGTATTCTAATTTGGCTGCAAGCGTGGCTGACTTTGCCATCTACCTGACAGATTTGCTGTTGTCAGTTCTGTAGCTGCCAGCTAAGTTACGGTAAGGAAGGAGGACTCTTGAACTGCATGGATCGGGATAAACAAGATGTGTTTACAGGCAGAAATTACACGAAATAGGATGAAAAACTTGGTTATTGGTCGATGCTCTGTTTTCCCTAAATTGGCTTGTTAAATTCAGTACTGGTGTGAAAAACAGTTAAAATTAAATTAGTCTAGTCATTTTGCCTATTTTGACACCCACATGATTTGGCACTAATTCAATTTTGTAGTGAGCAGTAAAACAAACAGTACTTAGTCACATATTTGTTGTCCCCAAAACTGGGCTCTTGCTTTGTGTCGAAGCCGATAAGTCACCAGATACAAGGTGTGATACAAAATTATACTTTTATTTTGATACCAAGATATAAGGACCCTGATTCAAAAGCTAACCAAAGGTCCTGATTACAATCTTACAGCAATTTTTATAGTCAAAGGGTGGTCACATTCAGCCCTTTGCCCTTCCCCTAATAATGCATGCATAACAGATAATAGTGATTGGTTATTTGGATCTCAGCCCCCTACATAGCTAAATGTCACCTGTGTTTCACCTCAGGTCATGGGTATCTTGCAAAGGGTCCTAGTTTCATGTGCCAGCTATGTGGTTTTTGGGGGTTTTCATATAAGCAAGCTATTCTTGTCCCTAATATCCTGGCTAATAGTTTAAGGTGCTACCTTCTGCCTGCTAAGAATGTGCAGTTCCAACCCCTTTCCTATTGCAGAGCAGCTCAAGGTAGCACCCCCCCCCACTCCCCTTTCCGCAGAGAAAAGTAAAAGCAGTTTTAAATCTTTGTTTGAGGCAGCACCCCCACTCCCCCGTGACCCCCCTCCTTCTGTAGAGAGGGACAGGAAGGAGCAAGGCTGCTTAAGGCACAGAAATGAAGACAAGAGAAAATGTTTTATCAGAATTCATATTCCTCACTCTCATGTCCATTCCATCCATACCTGGGTCCTATCTCCACATAAGACCCTTCCTCTGATCCCCAGGGCTGCCTCTGTAGATACATTCCATCATCTGATCCTTTATATTCATCTAGTAAAATACTTAGTGTTTAGAAAATAACCTTTTTATGTACTAAAAATCAATGTATACTAAAACACAGAATATGTAAATTTCAGCATATAGGAAGTGCATAAAGATTTAACAAATACATGGCTTGGGCGACCTTAAAAACTGGATAAATCATACAAATGCCACATTTTTACTTAAGACAAATTAATACATTAATATCTGCATCATAATTGTAGCACAGTATCCTTGTCATGAAATGTTTAAAGATTGAACTCTAACATGTTTTCCTCATTTCCATTGTGGTGGTGTGAAAATGAAGAAATGCATGTTTTACTTAATTTATATATGCATATTATAAGCTAATAATTATATTTTTAGTAAATCTCTGCTAGATATCAATTTGAAAAGTTTCTCCTCTAGTTGTTCCTTCAGACCCCTGGGTTAATATTAAATTTTGTGAACTAAGTTGTAGGCTGGTGTTTCTTTATCCTGAATTTGTGCAGCTACCCACATTTGGATAGATGGCGAATTCTGAACAAGAGATTAACTGAGTCACTAAGCTTCAGGTCCTGCTGATAGAAAGTAGTAGAGTGACAGTATAGTCCTTTACATGTTTGCTGAGATATTAAGACTCATACATTCAGTAAGACTTTCTTACAAGTTAGGTTATATGAGACTGCATTTTAAAATTCTGAACAAGGGGTTCAGAAAATAGTCAGAACTTCAAGAAAAGAGAAAAAGAATGCAAACATAAAAGGCTCTGAATATTTATATCTTGCATAGAGTTACTTATAAATCATGTAGAAAATTATAGCCTGGATACTACTAAACTATTAGACTTTGCTCAGTCAGGTACCCTTAAAATTGTAATCATCTAAATCTGCTAGAGTCCAAAAATCGTTAAAACGCTTATGCAAAAGTGATCCTTCCAAATAAATTGATGTTCTCTGAGGTAAGCAGGTAACAGGCAGTAATGAAGAAGATGCTGTTTTCAAGAAATAGAACTTTTCTTAAACATATAAGCTATATTTGACTGGTAGTTGCTTGATATTTCTCCATGGACCACAGGTTGAGAACCACTGGCTACTTTGGGAGAGAAATTTGGGACTGGGAATGGAATAAAATTACCAGATGGTTACCACTGGAAGTGGTGGACTCTGCAGGTACCTTATTTGCCCTCATTTTAATTTAAACATAAGAGACTGCTGGAGACAACAGACATGGAGAAGTGGGGCTCTCCTGAATAATCTAATTAAAAACCTAAAAAAAACCAAACCCAAACATGCACAGGAATGCAACCACAGGAAAAAAAAGTGAATGGAGGAAAAGACTGGACTTGGAGAGAAGACAAATCTTGGAAATCAAACGTTTATTTGGGTGCAAAGTTCCAAATTCTGGTGAGTTCTGCTTGTAGAGTAATCCTTTTGTGGATTACTGTGGTTTTTTGCTGCCCACACCCTGGCAACGGGCAGGGTCTGAGTTCAGAGCCCTGGGCCTCTCATGGTAAATGAATAAACACACGGACACAATGTTTACTCGGGATGAAAAGGCCCTGAACAAAAGGCAGGTACCTCCTTTTATTAGGTTGCATGCAAGCGTCATAGCAGGAACAGGGAATTTTTCCTTATAAGGTAAACTACATAATTATGCTAATACAAAAACTATACCATTGCTGGGGTCTTATCACCTCTGCTCTTAGCCCTGCCCAGTTACTTTCTTCTCCCACATAACTTTCGTTTCTCCTTCTCCCATAACTTTCGTTTCTCCAGCCAGCGCCCCTCCCAGCCAGCATTCCACAAGGTTGACCACTGCAACTTTTAGCATCCATTTATTGTAACAGTTGTATATTGCAACAGATTACAAATAGTCAAGAGACTGCAATATTTAAAGTTTCTAATATTTTTAAATATTTTGTGGATTTTTGTGGGCTACCTTGTAATATCTTTTTGTACCATATATATATTTCTTTTTTAAAAAAAACAATTTTATTAGTTTTTATAGACAAAACAAACAAAACATAAAAAACATCCAGCTTTCTTTCATAAATATACAAACAGTGTGTCGGTTGGTTTACCAGTTTTTGTGCATCCATTTCGTAGTCTCAATTACAGTTACATTACATAATAACTCATATTATCAATTAGAAATTATATACTCTAGTACAGGGGTGGGCAAACTACGGCCCGCGGGCCACATCCGGCCCATTGGTCTGTCCAATCCGGCCCGCCCCTGAAAAAAAATCGCTGGGCCGCGTGGCCCCCAAAGCTGCAAAACAGTGCGGAGCGATCTAGGGGTAGGAAAGAAAAGAAATTTGCAAAGGCCTCGGCTGGGAGTTCGAAATCACCTTCAAGTGCGACCTCTCCGAAGGTGAGTCCCCGCCGATCCCCCTTTTTTTTCCGGGGCTTCCAGGCTTAAACTTTGCAAAGGCAAAGCTTGCAGGCTGGAGCGTCTTCCCGCCGAGGAGCGGGAAGGGTTCCTCCCGGCGGGCGGGGCGGGCTGCTTGGAGTGGGCTGCTTGGAGCCACCTAGAGCGAGGCCGCTGCTGGTGGAGCCTTGCCCTGCCTTGGTGCCCCGTTTCCCGGCTCGGCGGTCCTGCTCGGGCGGCACTTTAAAAGCCTGCTCCCAGCACCTGAGCAACTTCCCAGCAACTTTCGGCTTCGTTTTAACTCGCGGGCGCTCACGCCTCGCCCCGATCCGCACGGCGGAGGGGACGCCCGGGGCGCCGCCGGGTCGCGTCCTCCCAGCAGCCCGCCTGCTCGCCGGGCTTCCC